AATATAAAAAAACATATCTCAAGAACGAATTGAGATATCATAATGAAATAAATAGCATTTTAAAGCAAATTTAATTGATATTGAGCTTATCAAAAATATTTTCTTAATTTCCATAAACGTACTTGTTATGATTTTTGAAACCCAACATTAAGCATTTGGTTGCTGTTAATGGCAAAAGCAGTAATATAAAAATCATATCTCAAGAACGAATTGAGATATTATAATGAAATAATCAGCATTTTAAAACAAATTTAATTGATATTGAATGTGCTAAAAATATTTTCTTAATTTCCATAAACGTACTTGTTATGAGTTTGAAACCCAACATTAAGCATTTGGGTGCTGTTAATGGCAAAAGCAATAATATAAAAGATGGTATCCAAGAACGAATTGAGATATCATGATGAAATAAGAAGCATTTTAGAGGGAATTTAATTGAGATTGAGTGTGCCATAAATAATTTCTTACTCTCCATAAACACCATTGTTATGACTTTTTAAACACAACCTTACACATTTGATTATTAAAAATTTTAATAGCAGTAATATAAAAAGTGATATCTCAAGAACGAATTGAGATATCATGATGAAATAAATAGCATTTTAAAGCAAATTTAATTAATATTAAGTATGAAAAAATGTTTTCTTAATTTCCATAAACACCGTTGTTATGATTTTTTAAACCCAACTCTACGCATTTGATTGCTATAAATGGTAAAAGTAGTAACAAAATATCGTATCTCAAGAACGAATTGAGATATTATGATGAAATAAGATGCATTTTAAAGCAAATTTAATTGAGGTTGAGTGTGCCATAAATAATTTCTTAATTTCCATAAACGTAAGTGTTATGATTTTTTAAACCCAACTCTACGTATTTGGTTGTTGTTAATGGTAAAAGTTGTAAAATAAAAGATCGTATCTCAAGAACGGATTGAGATAACATGATGAAATAAGAAGCATTTTAAAGCAAATTTAATTGAGATTGAGTGTGTCACAAATAATTTCTTATTTTCCATAAACACCATTGTTATGATTTTTTAAATACAGCCTTACACATTTGATTGTTATAAATTTTAAAGGCAGTAATATAAAAAATCATATCTCAAGAACGAATTGAGATATCATGATAAAATAAGCAGCATTTTAGAGAGAATTTAATTGACATTGAGTGTGCCATAAATAATTTCTTCATTTCCATAAACATTTTTGTTATGTTTTTTTAGCCCCCAACTCTATACATTTTATTGTTGTCAATGTTAAAAAGAAACATTCGGATTTAGCCGTGCGTCTAAAGACTTTCAGTTTTTTTTTGAACTTTTCTAATTCAATGTAAAATATACAATCTCTCGGGGGAATACCCAGAGTTTATCTATAAACGTGGAATAGAGTATCTTGGGGAATAACCCGAGTTGGATTCTATCTATGAGCGCTAACAATTATATTTAAATGTATTAAATAAATAATATTAATAGTATGACTTCAAAATATTTTGTCCGTTATATCGAGATTTTACAGTAATTAATTAATTTAGTTAATATAACCTTCACTAGAATGATCAGAATCTGATGCTTCACTTTCATTCCAATCACCAGTGAATAAATCCGAAATGGCAGCCGCTAATTTTTCCATCGTTCCATCTTCATTTTCCGAATCCGAGTCATCTAAAAATGTTGATAAGCTAGTTTTAACTTTTCGATTACTTCTCGTATGGAACGAATTCGATGGTTGTAAATAAATCATGTCCTCGCCACTTTCCTCGTCGCTAGAACTCGGGGAAGAATTCTTTTTATTCCCGGCGTCTTTTAAATTTGATGATTTTTTCGATTTCGTTTCAACATTACCCATCATCGGTAATGATTTGTCTTGAAAAATTTTTATGATTACTTCCCAAGGTTTATATTCGTAATCGTCCATCACAATCGGATCTAAAACTGGTTCCCAACATTGCGAATTATCATTGAAATAATTCGCTTGAATTGTAAATTCGCAAGTTGAATTTAAAAGTGTTGACCAATCGCACATTGTTACTTCCAATGACGTTTTTATTAACACAACGGGGATTTCTTCTAACTCTAAAATTAATATCATTTCGGTTTTTGGTAACAAAAATAACTCCCTGTAGATGTGGGATGGTGGTTTTTCAACGAATTCTTCTTTACAAACGTATTCATTTAAATGTTTCGGTTCCCATAAATCTTCAATTTCTTTTTCTTTACTTTCTAAACGTTTCAATTTGTTACCGGGGACTTCGTCTGGGAGTTTAAAATGTTCAACGATATCGTTTAATATATCATTAATGGCGTAAACCACTCGATTGCATAATTGAATGTGGATCGAAGAAACCGACGTGGTAATTTTATCCCCTTTTTCTTCACTAAACGATTTCGAAAGTTCAACATCGCATTGTTTTAGAATCGAATAAGGTTCCATTGCGTGAATTCCAACGTCGTAAAACGAGGAATGCAATCCCGATAATGAAATAACAAGACTTAATCGAGTACCATGTCTTGAATAATCCGACAAAATTTCGGTTTTTGTTATAAAATATCGCCGTTTATTCGAAGTTGTTTCAACCACAAAAATAAATTCGGGACGATTTATCCTTAAAGCGATTGTTAAGCTGTGTGGAATCGCTTTTGGGATTTCGTTTTCGTTGGTTTGGTCGCTAACATAACCGTGATTAATTATCCCGATGTCTAGGGTGTCTTTAGGGAGACAATCAACGATAAACATCGCCATTTTTTCAGAAAATGGAACTGAAAGGGTTAAACTTAAGCGACCGATGATGATATCGATGGATTTATCACTATTTTTGGTTTGATGGAATGTCAAATCGATTATTGGTGGTTTATTTACGGTTATATTGCAGTTATTGTTCTTGTTATCATCAACTGGGGATTGAAGAATCCTAAAAAAGATTTAGATTAAAATGAGTTTGGATTAATAAAAAGTAATTAAAATAACCCTTTATCATAAACATTAACGTCCGGTCCGATTTCTTCGATACACAACCCATCAACGGATAATTTCCCATCAATACTTCCATCAGTATACAAAACGCAACAAGTTGTGACCTCAACGATTTCGAATTTGCATAATCCGTGGTTTAAATCTCGAATAGGCGAACTTAAAAGTTCCCCGGAATCGAAAAATAATAACAAACTAACGCCGTCGAATGAAAATTTCGTGTTAATATATTTTTGTTTCGGTTCGCAGAAAAAAGCTTCTAAAGTCCGGACGGTTTCGTCGGATTCCTGGACGTTTCCGGTTGGTGATCGTATAATTGGCACGGGGAATAAATCGAGAAGCTTTCCTTCCCCGATGTTATCCGCGTAAATAGCCAAAATTATAGCTAAATCTCTTTGTCCCAAAGTTATCTGAATTACGTCCATTATCCCATCGATTTCCCAACATTGGGAGCGAATTGATGAGTTTTGGGATGGTGTGAACCGTTTTATGTCCATGTTTAAGTTAACAGGTTCAATTATTACTTCCTAAAAAAATATTTATTAACCTTCCAGTACTAACATGATTTTTATAACACATCGGTCTGTCAGACCGAACCTACTAAAAAGTGCTTTTTCTTAATTTTTTTACATTTACAAGGTAATTTTATGTACATAAGATGTTAAAATATAAGGATAATATGTTTGGGTGATAGGTAATACATAGTCAGTAGATCTAAAGTGCTCCATAAAATAAGTTAAATAATTAAGATATTTTAAAAAACGTAACGTTTTATTAAATAAACTTAAGGTAAATCTTTTTCATAGTCAATAGTATATTAATGTCTAACGAAATCACAACACATTGCAGTAACATACTCTAAACATAAAAGTTTTGTTTTGCGATTCTTTTTTGCACCGCATAAGGAACATCTACCATACTCTGTGTTTTGCTCTTGGGCAACAGTTTCAGGTTCCATGTTGCTGATTTCTTTTATGCGCATTGTTGAGTTGTTACACGCCTCTTCAGATGATCTCTTACCAAATCAAATGAAAGTTTTTCCAGAAAAACTCTTCGAAGCATATTTGAACCAGGATTTTATGAATTGAACACAGAAAAAGAATTTATGGCAGCTAAGTTCAATACACGATAAGAAATTACCATAGGCCATAGACCTTGTGTTTAGCCTGTTATTTATTTTTCAATTTTGGGTTGATATGGTATTAATTGTAGCACGTCAACCACAAGCAACCTTATCTTACTCAATTAAAGTAATAGATGCGGCCAAGGCACTGTTATTTATTTTCCAGTTTTAGGTTGATATGGTATTAAGATAATTGATAGATAATCCATCACTTTACACGAAAATACTGCCCGTTTGACAAAATTAGCAGTGGCCTTGAAAATATTTTTAAAAAAGGGCTTTTTATTGCAGATAATGTTTAATTTTAAAGAATCTTGTTATATTTTGTTAAGGAGGCATTTGCTACCCTCTCACTATGCACCTTAGTACTTTGTTCTGAAATCTTTGAATCAGACTTGCATTTGCCTTGCAGGTACAACCCCACAGTTGGATTCCATATGTCCATTTTGGTTTTAATACTTGCTTGTATATTAGCAACTTGTTACTTAGTGATAGCGTTGATTTTCTGTCAATAAGCCAATATAGGTGTCTAAATTTGATACCAAGTTCCTCACGTTTTTTTTTGACGTGAGCTTTCCATTTGAGTTTGGCATCCAGCGTCATACCAAGATATTTTGCGGTGTCGGCGTAAGGGACTGCATTGCCATTTATATGTACTGGGACATAGTTTACTTTTTTATAAGTAAAGTTTATGTATGTCGATTTAGTTGTATTTAGTTTTTTTAGCCATCGTTTGCTCCGGTTTTCTATTGAATTTAAGGCCAATTGTACGTCGTTTTCTGTAACCAATATCGCTGTGTCATCTGCGAATGTAGCTGTTAAATGTTTTTGGTACCTGAGGAAGGTCGAATGTGTAGAGGAAGTACAGTGTTGGGCCAAGCACACAGGAGTTCCTCCTTGAGGAACTCCGACTCGTATCTCATGTAGTGGTGAATAAGCGTTTTCGTATTTTACTCTAAAATATCGATCAGAAAGATACAACTGATGGTAGTATTTGGACTAGTTTGTAATTTAAACCATCTAACCAGGCTTTGTCGAAAGCTTGTGCAACATCCTGAAATACGGCGGAGCAAACTTTATTTTCTTCCATTGCTATTTCGATAGTATTCGTTATTCTATGCACTTGGTCTATTATTGCATGTTTATTCCGAAACCCAAATTGACGTGTTGGTATTAGGGCTTTTTCTTCTATGACAGGTTTTAGTTTTTTCATAGTAATTTTTCAAGCAGTTTTGATAGTAAGGGTAATAATGAGATTGGCCTAAATGATGTAACATCTGTGGGGGGTTTACCAGGTTTTGGTATCATTATTATTTCAGCAACTTTCCATATGCTTGGGAAGTACTTCTGTTTAAAAGCAGCATTAATTATGTGTAATAGTTTTGTAATCGCCCGTTTTGGTAGATGTTTCAATGTTTCTCCATTAATTAGGTATTTAGTTTTTGTATTTCATAATACAGTTCTTTCATTCTTACACATGGTATATTACTCTGCTGGTCACTTTGAATTACGCTAGGGACACTATTTGGCATAGTTGTTGGACTGTCTGATGTAAAAGCTTCTTTCAGATATTCAGCAAACAAATTAACTTTTTCTTGATTGCTCTTAGCCCAAATTCCATTATTATTTCAAATTGGAGGTGTATGTGTTTTTGAAACTTTAAGCTTTCTTGTTGTCTTCCACAGAGAATAATCAGTATTGGCATCGTCAGTAAGGTCTTTTAAGTAATTTTGAATATTATTATCTTTGTGGCTATCTGTTAATGCTCTTAATTTGGCTGTTATTTTATTTAATTTAGTTTTATCACTAGGAATTCTATTGGTTTGTCATTTCTTTCTTTCTTTCCGTTTTTCTGCAATTTCGTCTCTAATAAATTTAGGATAAATATTAGATTTAGGTTTTGGTGTTAAAATTGGTTTTTGGAAAACGCAGCCTGGGCGTCAGGCTGCGTTTTGTATGTCTTTTAAGAACTTTTCTACTTCATTGTCAATCTCTTCGCTTGTTTTCATAGGAGCATTAAGATGAATTTTATTATCTAATGTTTGTTGAAATAGATTCCAAGTAGTGAGTTTATTAGTTAGTTATAAAAAGGGTTCTTTGTTACATACTTTGTTATTTAGAAATTTAATAATTACTGGTGAGTGATCTGAGTCCAGCCCTAACTCTTCTTCTATGTTTACGAACTTAAGCGATATATTTTTCGTAATTAAAAAATCAAGCAGGTCCGGAATTTTACTTCTATCTGTTGGCCAGTAAGTTGGTTTCCCAGTGGAGAGCACCTCACAATTTAGGGCCTCTATTGCATGGTTGAGTTCTCTAGACTGTTCCTAAACTTTGTTTGCTCAGAACTTTTTTATTCTATCATAACGCTACATTTATTTTTGCAGTTTCTAATAGTAAATTTAGTTTAGAATCTTTTATCACTCTTAGAGAATATTGATAAAAACTACCGTTTTCGTATTAAATGCAAGAATGTTAGGCTCCTAATTCAATAACACTAAAAAAAAAGAAATAACTAATTAATCTGAATTGGAAATGACAAGTGAAAATCGAACTGAGCTGTCATAACTATTATGTATGCAACATGTTCAAGTGTAGATATAGCTAAATCACATTTTTAATTTGTTTTAATTGGTTTAATAAAAGAATTCGAAAACAATAAATTAAAAATCAACAAAAAATAAACAAAAATCGACAACACTAACAGGAATAATAAAAACATACATAAAATAACAAGACTTAGTAATAAAAAATGCTAAAGGAAATGTTCAAAAACTTAGATTTCTTTTTTTTTTTTTAGTGCTATTAATGAAATCGGAACCCAACATTTTTGCATTTAACACGAAAACGGTGACTTTTATCAATATTATCTAAGAGTAATAAAAGTTTCTAAATTAAATTTGCTATTAGAAACTGCAAACAGAAATGTACCAGTTATGATAGAATAAAAAAGTTTTGAACAAACAAACTTTAGGAACATCCTGTATAGCATTGTTCCCGATGACCGATCCAATTCATAAACTGCCTAACGATTTTACATGACATTGATTTACACTGTACCAAATTTCAACGCTTTACTGTAAATAGTGTTTAAGATATTTGGAAAAATGTGTTAAAATTTCCTAACTTTTATGGTATCTTTGAAATTTGAAGACTTTTACTAATTTTTTTTACATGAATCGTCATCATTTTCACTCTAGTATACCTGGTTAAATTTGTTCCCCGAGTCACCGAAACAGCCTGTATACAATTCTCGTGTAAAGTGAGTTTCGGAGATAAGACATATATCAATATTATTTTCTTTAAGTATTATTGGTAGTGTGTTTTGATGCTGTCGAAGACCATTAGAATTCCACAGCATTATTTTTAGTTGCTGCTTTTTAGACATTTTGATTTCTTCTTTGAATCGCTCCTTGGTTTAAATTGCTTTCAATGAAATCTAGACGTGCATATAATGTGTTTATTGTTTCTTCTTGTTGAAGTATTTTTTTAGTTACAGTTTTACTTACAGTTTTCTCGCTTTTTCGGCATACGCCTGGCTTTATTTTATTTGAATTTACTGTTTTCTTATTCCTGATGACTTGTAGTTCCTTAATCACAATGCATCTTCGGTAGTTCGCTGGATGATTTTCTCCACAGTTGAAACATTTAGCTGGGATTTCTTTGGCTTTAGTGCATTCGCTAGTGTTCACCAGCACATCTCGTTCATTTAACACATCTCGGATTTTTGTGGCAGTAAGCTTTGGCGTGACTCCAACCTTGACCTCTTTTGCACTGGGGCATTTGACTTAGCTTTCTGTACTCTTCGATTTTGACACATTTCATGGATTCTTTTTACATCCTCTGACGGTGTAAAATCCAAGATGTATAAAGGAAGAGGCTCTTGTGTTTTGTATTTTAACATTTGGGTTACTTTACAAATGTTATACTTACGCTTCAATAGATCATCTTTGATATAATTAACATCACAGCTTTTATGCATCTTTTTAGCGACCACTTTCAGATTTCTGGTTTGCTTATTTTCTTAAGTTGACTGGGACAAATTCTTTTCAGTAAGCATCTTTGATGCTTCTCTGTAGTTTTCTTCCGAATTAAGATTCATGCAAACTATAAACAACAATTGCAAAAAATGTGGTTGTGAGGCTAGCATTAGCCTTCAATATGCAAAGTTGCTGTTTATAGAGACAACGAACGGAGAGAACAATAAAACAAAATTGAGTGATTACCCCCGCCATTTACAACTCCATAACAAATTCTATATCACAGGTATCATCAGTTATGAAGTAACTACGACACTACACGCCATTTGTGCCCAACAATGCCAATTGGATATTATTTAATGACTTACGGAAAAAATCCGTACATGTTGAAGAAGCTATTGAAATGAATGCACAAATGTGCATACATATATGTTTATAAATGACCAAAGTAATGTAACCGTATTGGTCCGTGAAATTAGTTTATTTACATGATTTAGTTTATTTAGTTATATTTTACTTTAGAATAAGTTATTATACCGCTATAGTAATACTGATCGAATAGTTATTGTTTTATTTGTTAGTTTAGTTTATTTATTATTATATACAGGGTGTCTCAGCGAGACCGGTCATTAGACGTTTCTGGGGTTCTGGCAAAAATAAAAATTTGAGAATTCAGACATAAGTATTATTAATTACGATCTCTTCGACTAAAATATTTTCAGATTTCTTACACTTCCGGTTATACCGGAAGTCGCCACCTACGTTATTTTTTTAAATGGAACACCCTGTATATTTTTACATATTTGGATTTGTCTGTTTTCAAGGTTTATAATTTACTTTACTTTTTGCAATTTGATTCGGCCGTTCTCGAGTTATTCGAATTTTTCTAGAAAAATCTGCTCCAGTAGACATTTGTTCAAAACATCAGAGAACACTCGATTTTTGGGATATCACTTTAGGATTCAGAACATGCTTAAGCAACATGATGGAGTATGTTTTGGTGCCGAGAACGGCTGTCTAGAACATTTGGTCACTTTACTATGGCACGTTAACTTTTCGAAAATTGGAAGTACCATAACTTCATTTTTTTAAATGGCACCCCCCATATTTTATTACTTAGTCGTCTTCGGTGTCTCACTCTACATCTTTTATATCCCATATGTCCCATACCTAACATTAATAGTTTGGGAGATAATTAGGATTTTTTGAAAAATGCACACATATCATATGGATATTTAGCCTAGTGTGCCATGAAAAACAAGCCTTCTCAATGAGTTCTTGTCAAAGACTCACTTGTTTACGTCACTTGATGCATGTGAGCTAATAATTATCTGTTATGTCCCTTAATATTAGTACTGAAACGAGTTAAAATCGATAACAATAACGAAAGTAATATTTACACAAATCAAGAAATTCTTAATTTATTTTTTTTGCATGAAAAGCGCGACAAAGTTCGTAGTATGATTCCCAGATCTTCTTTGGCAGCTCGAATTGAGGTGTTGGGACTGGGCTCGAAATAAGCCAAGGTATTCACCTCTTCCGTTGCATTATCTACTACATTTTTTGGTCAGTTTAACACGTGATTAATTCGTCCAAAATGCAAAAAATTTGCTTCTATTCTTCTAAATTTACCTTTTGTCATCGGAGGTAAATGTGGATAATTTTCATTAAACATTCTGCAAGTTCTACTAAGAACTTTGTCGCACTTTTCGTGCACAAAAAATAAATTATGGATTTCTTCATTTGTATAAACATTATTTACGTTATTAATATCCATTTTAACTGGTTTTAGACTCACAAGCATCAAACAACCTAAATTAGACTTTGACGTTTATCAATAAGTCATTAAACATTTGTTTTCCATGGCACACTAGGTTAATATCCATATGATATGTGAGCATTTTTCAAAAAACCCTAATTATTTCTCAAACTATTAATGTTAGGCATAGGACATATGGAATATAAAAGATGTAAAATGAGACGCCGAAGACGACTAAGTAATAAAATATGGGGGGTGCCATTTAAAAAAATGAAGTTATGGTGCTTCCAAATTTCGAAAAGTTAACGTGTCATAGTAAAGTGACCAAACGATCTAGACAGCCGTTCTCGGCACCAAAACATACTCCATCATGTTGTTTAAGCATGTTCTGAATCCTAAATTGATATCTCAAAAATTGAGTGTTCTATGATTTTTTGAACAAATGTCCGCTGGAGCAAATTTTTCTAGAAAAATTCGAATAACTCGAGAATTGCTGGTTCAAATTGCAAAAAGTAAAGTTATTTATAAACCTTCAAAACAGACAAATCCAAATATGTAAAAATATACAGGGTGTTCCATTTAAAAAAATAAAGTAGGTGGCGACTTCCGGTATAACCGGAAGTGCTAGAAATCTGAAAATATTTTAGATGAAGAGAACATAATTGATAATACTTAAGTCTGCATTCTCAAATTTTTTGTTTGGCCAGAACCCTAAAAACGTCTAATGACCGGTCTCGCTGAGACACCCTGTATTTATTATTATAAGTTTAAAGAGAAAGGTGAAACGATTGTTATATTACAGGTTAGGTTCACTTCAACAAAACCTCCGATATCACAACAACTCAAATTTAAGGTTTTTCTAGTGAAAATAACAGCTGTTCTAATTGTTATAAGTACTAATTTTTAATATGAAACTTTAAAAAAACTAAAGCCACAGTGAAGCCACAAGTGCCACGGTGTGTGAAGCCGCAAGAACAATTTAGAGCAATAGTGATTTTGCAAAATTAATGTCCATGTAACCAGAAAAACCTCTTTTTCTCTACTTTAAACGTAAAACACACCTTGAACAATTCGAATTAGCAAAGTTTGAGTTATTTTAGATCGTTATATGTTTTTTAATTGTTATTGTGTAATTTAAAACCGCCGACGAAAAAATTACTGACTGAAAACTCCCAAGAACTTCAATTTTCAAAGAGTAAAGTGTCCTTTATAGAGTTGTTCTAGTGAAAATAATAGCTGTTCCAGATTGCGTTAGATATGGTATGAGTTGTTCAGTCGGAACTTTCGATCTAAAATATTGTTGAGATGGCTGCCACTTCCGGTCTACCGGAAGTAGACCATAACTTCGTTATTTTAAATAGAATGCTATAGTTTTTATTAGACCTTTTAATTGTACGTAAAAAATATGTTGACTTTCATAAAAGTTATTGGTACCTAGCGTTTTTCGTTTTCGAGTTATTTTGATTTTAAGGTTTTTTTGGCAAATTTATCAGAGTATCTTATACAGAGTGGTCAAAAATTGAATTACCGTTTCTCCATATTCAATGGGGAGAAAGTCAAAAATTTTAAATGGAACGCCCCATATTTTATTAGCCTACAGAAAAGGGAATTTAGTTCTCTACAATTTATCTATAAAGATTCTTATACCTATTTATTGTAGTTTCTCTCATATTCGTAAATTTATCAAAACATGCAGAAAATGTAGGAAATCGTTTGTATTTTTGTTAGAAGGCCATGACATTTGGACAGTTTTTGTTTAATTTATTTTTATTATTATTTGTATTGTTAACTACGATTGATAATCTTTTAGTTTACTAGCTTTTACTTAGCAAAAATAACAAACAGAAGATGAAATAAATGATCTTAAATGATGAGATTTGAATAAAAATATAAATTTATAATATAAATTTGTTATTAAATTGAATTTGGAAATGCAATAAAATACGATAAAACATTGGTGGGTTGGGCTATTTTTTTGCGTACAATTAAACGGTGTAATAAAAACTATAGCATTCCATTTAAAATAACGAAGTTATGGTGGACCGGAAGTGGCGACCATCTTGAAAATATTTTAGAACGAAAGTTCCGAATGAACAACCCATGCTACCAAAATTTCAAATCTCTACGAATAGTGGAACCTGAAAAAGTTCTAACGAACCAGTTACGTGAGACACCCTGTATAATTGTAATATGGAATTGAAAATAGAAAAACTATGGTCAAAGCTATCAACTGGACATTTTGGCAGCCAAACCTATTTTTAATTATAAATTAGTAATGCTGTATCCCATAATTTTGATTTTCTAGAACAATAACTAGAACAACCCAGAACAACAAAGAAACTCTGATTTTTCCAAAAATGTCAAAAAACCAGTTTTTTCCGCCGAGTTTTTATTTTTTTCTATTTACTGCTTTAGAACAATGTAGAACAACTCTAGAATAATCTAAAACAACAATGAAAAATTTAAAAAACAATAAATGGGGAGCTAACTTCCCGCAGCCTGTTAAGTCGGCTGTTGTTCGAACATGTTCAAACAGAGTCGATTCATACTTTTAAGGCTATTCTTTTTTGCTTAATTATTACACATTGTAAATCAAGAAAATTGATTGCTAATTAAGTAAAATGAAGTAATACGTCATTATTCTGGTATAACAGTGAAGAGTCGGTCTGTCAGACCAATGTTAGTACTGGAGGGTTAATTAAATCTTAAAAAATTTGATTTAAAAAACTTACCTGCATCTCTAAAGTTGATGTTAGCGTCATAATTCCTCTATTAACAGTTATTCCATTGATTTTCACTAAAATATTTTCGACGATCTCGCTCGTATAATCTTTAAAAAAATTCTCAACGTTAAATTCGCCAGTATTGNATGATTAGTACACCTTCCACTTCACACAGTACTTTTTTCATAATTTCTAGTTAACTTTGAAATTAAAATATATTTTCGCTCCACATTTTAACGTTTCATGAGAACGACCCATCTCTTATAGTTTCTGAGATAGCCTATAATAACACCCAAATTTGCCCACCCTGTACACTGCATAGTTTTTTAAAAATATACATATTGGAAATTAAATGTCTTTAATTAAAATAATTTGGCTAGGTCTTTCTTTTTGATTATGCTCTTCCATAATAAAAGCTTAAGTTCACAACACGACGTAATCCAAATACAAACAATAATATCGCCTACGTGCATAGCTTTGATGCGGCAACTCAAAATCATACTCTATAACGTCAGCAGCCATGGCGGGATTTGGACGTCGTTTGAAATGCTTTTGAAACGCGCGAAACTTTAATACTTTTTTACCAAGGTATTAATTATTTCTAAGGAATTATACTTGGGGAATAGTCTTTTTAGATATAACTAAATGCTATTATAGATACAAAATAAAAATGGAAAGTTCCCTATTGTGCTATGCATAATATAAAAAAAAATTATATCCCAAAAATTTGGTTTAAAAAAATTACCTGCATCTCTAAAGTTGATGTTAGCGTCATAATTCCTCTATTAACAGTTATTCCATTGATTTTCACTAAAATATTTTCGACGATCTCGCTCGTATAATCTTTAAAAAAATTCTCAACGTTAAATTCGCCAGTATTGATGATGATTACATTCGGCGAAGAAGATTTTTGCGGGAACAAAAGAATTGGGCCTTTCAAATTAATTGCTAAATTAATTTTCGAATTATTTTTTAACGTATCCGTAGCCTTTTCGATTGCTTTATAAATAACATCGACCGCTTTTTCGATGTAGCAAAGCGCCTCTAAATTAACTATAAACCTCTAAATACGATAAATTAATTAATTAATTACTTTTTGAATTAATTTGTGGTCTTACATGAAGTTGGACGAAAAGTTTATATAAAAACGTAACGTGAATTTGTCCCAAATAAATTTTGAACGTTCCATTTGTGAAATTATCGCTGGGAGTTGGGGAGATATCGTTTCTTGGGATTAAATGTGAGGCGTGTCTCACGTATTTTACTTCAAAAACTTTGTCTTCATCGCTTGAAAGAACCTTTAATTATAAAATTATTAATTATTGATTATTAAATGATTAAAATACAACCTTATTGTATAAAGTAACATCGGAAAGATGATCAACATTAATACTTCCCAAAAACGAACGAAAAACGAACCTTTCGTTCGCCCTAAAAAGAAAATCCAATTCCAACCCCGATAATTGGATGTTAATTATATCATAATCCGAGTCGCAAACTCTCACTCCTAAATTTGAAAACCTCGCTGAATGTGAGAACTTAATCGAACCCGGAGGAACCGGAGTTTCCGCCGTTTTCGAGCGAAGAAATTCTTTTGCTTTATTAAACCACCCTAAAAATTTAGTAGACAAATTTTTCGAAATTTGAGTTTCAATCCTAAAACAAAATTGAATTATTACTTAAGATTATTTAAATTTATACTTTTTAAAATACTTCGATTTAATATATTTCGTATACTTAATAAAAGTATGAACAGCTTCTTGATGCAAAAGTAAAAATAACCCGCCAACATCCGCGACTAAAGATGTTTCAACCCCGTGGAAATGCGTCCAAAAATCTGGGCAACTCGCGCTTACTTTTCGATACAAAATAGTAAGAACGTCAACTTTCGATGGAACGGGGCTGTAAACTAAATCTAAGTATTGGCCGCTTGATGTTGTGTGCATTTTATCCGTTATTAAAATACTATTCAATGAAACTTGATACGCTGGGCCATAAGTCATTAAAGCTGCGTCGATTGTGATTAATCCAAGACGGAGGAGTATGTATTGGCGGTCGGTGGAATCACTTGATTTTGAGAAAAGAAATTGAAACTGAAAAATAAATATGATTTACCCAAAAGCTCCAAAAAGAATCTTAACGGAATTTGTCAAAAATAATTTAAAGAGATTATTACATCATTAATAACACATCCAACCAAATTTGAAATTCGATTACTCGGAGAAACATTATCTTCCAACCCAGGCAAATCAACGCACCTCGCCCAAGCTTCATTCATATTTTGTTGATAACTAATGATAGAAGTTTTCTTTTCGGATTTAGGAGGATCCTTATCCATCTTCCTCTTACATTTAATATAAGTATCCAAAGTGATGTAATTTTGAACGTGCGATAAATATTTATAAGAAATTTCTTCTTTAATTTTATCAATAGCCCATAATTGTTTTAAGGGCGGTTTTAAAACGTTTTCTTCTTCGATATTTAAACTTTTTAGGAATTTTAAGAATGTACTCGCTTTCCTTTCGGAAACGTTTAGGCGAATGTTTGGAAAGTTTATGTTGAATTTTTGTCTAAAAATAAAATTACTGTTAAGTTAATGTTAATTAGTACAGTAAAATCTCGATATAACGGATTAATATGGGGAAGGGAGTGTCTGTTATAAACTAGTGTTAGTTCTAGTTTTAGTTCAACGAGAAATATACATCATACAAGAATCTGGCGCTGAATAGCAATTAAAACTATTACTACTGTCTTTGACTTATACATCGTATGATAAGTTTTGAAAAGTATGACAACTAAACTTTTGAAAAAATTTAATATCCATGAATATAACAGTTATTAAATTTAACTGGCGATAATCACCACAAGGACGACAATCTTCACAGTCTTTTTTAGGTACCATGTGTAATGAAGAGGCAATAGAAGAAGATGAATTATAGCAAATTAAAAGAGATCATTTGATCGAATTCTTTCTTAGCTATTGCAAATTTGGTAGCATCGAAACGTCTTGGTCTACAAAATGGCAAATGAGAATTTGTAATAATGTTATGTCGAAAACTGGATATTCGGTTATCCGGCATATCTATCCGGCCATTATGGGTATAACTTCTGGTGCATTTCTGAAGTGATACCCTACATTACCACATTATTGCGATATTTGAATAAAATGAAATTAATAAGAATGCTGATAAGATATGTCAACTTATTTTTATCCAAGATACGAAATGAACTTTTTTGATGCAGATTTAACTCACGAAGCAACTCTAAAAAGAGGATAGTTTAATTAATAATCGACGATATTTCCACAAGGATCCTTCAAGAAATTAATTTTATAGCGAATTTTGAAAATTATCGATAAAAATTGCAACATCGTAAATTTTATCAAAACTTCAAATATTGTTTTCTCAAAAACTAAAAGTTATTTTTCAAAATGGGTTAGTTCATTGGAAAGACGACACTCTTATGAACACTTTGGGAAATTCTCATACTCATATTCCAAGAACTGGATTTTATACGAATTTTTAAAACTTAATCGGCGAAAATTGCAAAATTCGAAAAAATTGTCGATCATTTCAAAAATTTATTTCTCAAAAACTAAAACTGATATTTCAAAACTGCTTTTTGCATTAAAAAGAGGATACTTTAATTAATACTTGGTGATATTTGCACAAGGATCGTCCAAGAAATTAATTTTATAGAGAATTTTGAAAATTATCGATGAAAATTGCAACATCAAAATTTTATCAAAACTTCAAATATTGTTTTTTCAAAAACTAAAAGTTATTTTTCAAAACGTGTTGGTTCATTGGAAAGGGGACAGTCTTATTAACACTTGAGTAAATTTTTATACTAATATTCCAAGAAATGGAATTTATACGAATTTTTAAACTTAATCGGCGAATATTGCAAAATTCGAAAAAACTGTCGATCATTTCAAAAATTTATTTCTCAAAAACTAAAAGCGGTTTTTCCATACGGCTTGTTGCATTAAAAAGAGCATACTTTAATTAATAATTGGTGATATTTGCACAAGGATCCTTCAAAAAATGAATTTTATAGCGAATTTTGAAAGTTATCGATGAAAATTGCAACATCGAAAATTTTATCAAAATTTCAAATATTGTTTTCTCAAAAACTAAAAGTTATTTTTCAAAACGTGTTGGTTCATTGGAAAGAGGACACTTTT